ATTAAAATTCAGATTACAAAGTTAACTGGAAGGCGAAGTTGACTTCGGCTTCGATTTCGGTGCCGAAGTTGAAATAGAAATTTGGCTTACGGTTAAATTCAATAACAATTGTTTATTTTCATTTAACTTTCAGTTAAATTCAAAAGTTATTAATTTATTTTCAGTTGAAAAAGAATAATATTTGTAAAAAAATATTTCATGTTTTATATATATCAGCCTGTTTCTCCACGCAGCGGCCTTGTTCATCAAGGTTCGTTTTTCCGAGTTGAAGAGTTGAGTGAGAATTGTAATCACTATAAAAAGAAAAAATATGCGTAGCTTCCTTGACTATAGAAGCCTGCTGCCAGCAGGCTACCTTGACTATAGCAGCCTGCTGGGCCTTTCGGAGCATGAATTGAGTAAAAAAAACAACAACATTAGACATAGATTTTTTTTGAGTCAATATTCGAAAAATCTTTTTTAAGCACAAAATCTATTCATTGCTTATTAAATCTTATTTATTGAATTAAGAAAATTTTGAAGGTAATGAACTTTTTTTGCGACATTGTTTAGGAAGGAGGCATGAGTTTCTAATTAAATGCTTATCCGCGGTGCTCTGTGTTAACACCGTAAGGACTTCTTGGGGCACCTAAAATAAAGTTTAAAAAAATGAGCGTTCTTAATGCTCTTTTGTTCACATTCGTTCAAAAACAACAGAGTTGTAAAAACTCGATAAAAAAAGTCCACTTTGCCGGTCTTTACGGCTGATGCCACAGTTATACATGATGCAACAAATTTAGAAATTTAAATTCTAGCCATATTTAAAAAAGAGTTATCAGGTATGTCCATTGCTCTGATTCTTTGTGCAAATACTGTAACAAAATCACAGGAGCAAAAGCTTATAAAGAAAGTTTGTTTCTGATGTTATTGTTCCTATATTGTATAACAAAGGTCTTGGTAGTGATGCACTTCTGACAAAATATTTACATGGTGAGTTAATAAGTCCTTGAACAATTTTATAAACATTTTGCGGTGCCCAAATTGGGTATGTTGGAAATGATGTTTTTAAAACTGCCTTTGCATGTCATTACATATAATAATGTTGCCCAAAGACTTCTGCTAGCTTTCAGTAAGCTAAGCATTCTTAATACACAATTATTATTTTACTAAAAGTTTAAGAAAATTGACATTCAGCAGTCTGAAATGAAAGTTGACCAATGCTACAAGACGAAAAATCTTTGTCGCAATATACATACAGACAGTATTAAACAGTAATAAAATAGATAATATATAAATTCAATAAAACTTGGCGTGCACCATTTCTTAACCTTTTTTTAGATTTTTTTTTGAACACCTCTTATACAAATAAGTATTTTGATAAAAAAAATATATATATAGCCTGTAATAAATCTTATCTTTGTGTTTTGACTTCAGTCTTTGCTGTTCTTATGGTAAAAGTTTGAGGTCTTTAGCTTGGTATTTTTACACTTGGCCTTGATACTGAATTCTTTGCTCTTGTTATCAAACAAATCCTTCTTAAAATATTGCCAATTGAACAGGGTATTTTAGAAACACCGTGAGTCATTTTTAAAAAAAAGTTATGTGACACAGGATCGTGTTGTATATACATGTTAGGTATATACATGTTAGATATGTCAGGCTATTCAGTTAACACTTTATAAGGTGTTGACTGAAAGGTCTGCCTAATGCGATTTCTCAAAGAAACATGTTTCTACCCTTAGATAACGCGATATCTTCCTTGACTCATTATTGTCTGAAAATGACTTATGGTGTTTCTGACCTGTTCAATAGGTTTTCAAATTCTAATAGGTTTTTAATAGGTTCAATAGGTTTTCAAATTCTAATAGGTTTTCAATAGGTTCAATAGGTTTTCAAATTCTAAACTTATTTAAAGTTTAACTAGACTTTTGTCTTTTAAAAGATTTGCATGGTAATAAATCTCAACAGTGTTGTATATTCGTGCTATACCTAAAAAAAATCTTAAACAGCCATTCATATGTAAACTTTTAAATTATATTTTGAATAATTTTTTACGTTAAATAAAACTAGACTTTTATATGTTTTAAAATATATTCCGATGTTAGGTGCATATTTCTAATATTTCCTAATTTTTTATTAATTGATTGCAAAGAAATGCAAAAAAGTAAATTTTGATTCTGAAACCAGAAACTATATGTAATTATTTTTTTTAGAGTTTTCCCCAACGCACCAAGAGTTGGAGATGTTACTCCTCTGGATCGATCAATAAGTAGATATAGCCTCACTCCGAAGACTCGTAAACGTAACAGTTCAGGTTTTTGTTATGACGATGAGTCAGTGCATAAAAAGAGCAGACACAGTTACTAAAACAAAATTATCGAGTTATTTTTTCTATATTTTTTTTTCCCCTTTTCTTTGTAATATCTGGCGTGTGCACACATTTAAAGTGATTTTTTATCATACTAAAATAGTTCAAAAATTTAGTCAACTTGGTTCGTATGAGCTCTTAAGAATGCCAAAAAACATAAGAATGATATGTATGAGGAGCTAATAATCAAATCGCGATACCTTGCATGATCTGATAAAAATTAACATTTACGATTATAATAAATTTTAAAAATTTGAACATGATACAATTTTGTCCTTTGTTCACATTTCTTTGGATACTTAGATTGTTTTGCCATTTATCAAAACTAACTGCAGCCATTTGTCTACATTTTCTTTTCTTCAGATAGTGATCTAATGAGAAGCTTTGTGGTTGTATTCTGTCTCACGTATTAATTCAAAATTGCTTTTTAAGTTTTGGTATGGTTTATTACTTTTATGAATAAACCTCTCCATTGCTAACTCTAATGTTAATCATTAAATTAAATGTTAATCACTAACCTGCTGGTGTTTCCTTAATCCTTGTAGAATTGTCTTGAATTTGTGTCTTGAATTTGAATTTGTGTCTTGAATTTGAGTTCCCTGTCTCGAACTGACGTGTACTGTTGTCCATGTTCTTATAAGTTTTTATGTATTTTTTCTCCAATAGAAATAGGTTTATTTTGCTATAACTCTAAATGTTTTTGGTAGAGCAGAAAAATTATACCAACAATTTTGGGAAATGCATATGAACTTCTGTAAAGCGTGTTCTTTGAGCATGTGAAAGTGTAATCTTTTTAGTTAAAAAGATACTTCCATAAGTGAACAGTAGTAAAACTTTGGCTGCGATCCTTTTAAATCGACTTTACAAAAGTTTTAAAATCTATTGTCTTAAATAGTATGCCTCTGCACATATCTTAACTAAAACTCATATATTCTACAACATATACCCATAACCCTTCCAATTAATAAGTTTAAAAGTCTGAAAAGACTAACGTTTACATCGAACCTGACTCATGCCATGATCTGAAAATTATAAATAGAGTCTTCAAAGGATGAATTCATAGAGCATTATATTTATGTTCAGAAAGTAATATTGAAGAGTTATTATTTCTAACCAATGTTAAAACAAACCTAAAAAATATTCTTAAAAAAACTATAGAAAACTTAAATCATAAAAAAGGGAATATTGAAACTCAACATTTATCTACAACATTTAAAATGATTATCTTTACCGTGGGTTCTAGGAGTTTGCCCATAATTTAGAAAAGTTTTTAAAAGACACACCTTAAAATCACCAAAAACATTTTGAGAGAAGCTCAAGAAATACTGCGTCATAAATGTGTACCTTCAAACGGCGCATAATGGGACAGTAAATATGTTAAAATACCCAAAACAAAGTGGGATACTGAGTATGCCAAAATACTCATAAATCATTGTCAACG